CCCAGACACTCAAGCTCATGTACCACACACACAAACCTCACAGACACACGCAAGCACGCACGCACAAAAGGTAAATAGCTAAAAAGAAAAGGAAAAGACATAGTGAGCTTATAGTAATTCAATGAAAGTACAAGGCTGGGAATATTAGCTCAGTGGTAAAGCACTTTGCCTGCTATGTGTGAGGCCCTAAGTTCAATTCCCAGCACCTCAAAAAACAAAAAAAAGTCAGTAACTATGCTAATATCAGCCCATAGAATGTTACCAGGGATATAGACAGCTACTTCACAGTGATAAGGGGGCTGATTATAAGGACATATAATCCTAAAACTGTATACACCAACAATGGAGCTTCAAAACAGACATACAGCTGGGTAAGATACCACAGCTGGTAATTCCAGGACTGGGGAGGCTGAGGCAGGAGGCTTATGAGTTCCTGGTTAATGGAACTCCATATCGAGACCCTGTCTCATAAACAAACAATTAAACCAAGGGCTTGGCATATAGCTCAGTGACAGAGCCCTTGTCTAGCATGCTGAAGACCCTAGGCTCATCACCAGCGCTGTGTCAAACCCCAGGAATGTGGAACTCTGAACTGAAATGAGCAAATCCACTCGGATTCTTTGTAATGGAGCCAGGGCCTTATGCGGTACATGCACTTGTTAAGCTTGGAGGAGGCCAAAGAATATAATGAAAATATAGTATATGAAAAGTCTAAAACATAACTTCAAAAACCAAATAAAGCAAAAATTAGCCTTTGTTCTTTCAGACGCTTTTCTTCACCTCTCTGGCTCCCCCGTGTGGTGGTTCTAGGTTCAACACAGACAGTGGTACTTTCTGGACCGGAGACAGTGTGCTGTGGGCGGTAGTTCAAGGCTAGGAGTCAGGAGATCCAGAACTTCTTAAATGGAGTCAGTTCTCAGCTGCTGTGGAGCTTAACCGAGGACTGACAATGGTGGGGTATCTGTCAGTGGGGATGTGGGTAGGAAGGAAACAGACCTTCTGGCTTGAAAGGCCAGGTCCACCCACTCTGGAGCATTGAAAGTCTTTTGTCTGATGGGTGAATGGGACAGGGTCACTTACACAGAGGCACAATGACTGAGACCTCAGGGTCAATAAGATGAATCCATGTGCTCGTGGAGAGGTGGCTCAGTTGGTATGAATGCCATAAACAATGGCAATGGCCGCACGAGCATGGGGACCTGAGTTGTGGCTTCCATCTTGGGTCCACTGCTCAGGTTCTCTCTATACCTTCCTCTAGAGCAGCAGGTCTCAGAATGAAGTCATCTGTCCCCTGTCTTAGGACATCTGGCCGTATGGGGACGTCGTTTTGATTGTCAGATGGGTGAGCGGACTTTCACCCACTGCAAAGGGTTGATCCCCAAAACCATGTGTAAAGCTGGGTGCCGTGGTGATCTCAGCACTAGGGATGTGGAACCTTGGAGCTCACTGCCAGCCTGGAGTAATCGGTGAGCTTCAGGTTCCAGGGAAAGACGGTCTCAAAAAACAGACAGACAGCTGAAAACAACACCCAAAGTTGATCCCTGGGTTCCACGTGTGCACATATGTGTCCGTGATGCGTGTGTGCACCCCGCAATGATAGAAATGAATGTTTAGAATGCTTGAATACAAAGAGAACTGAATCAGAAGCCCTGTGGAATAAGGCTAGGGTGACCCCAAGCGTGGTCATGCCGAGAGAGCACCAGGAACTGCCACGGGAGGGGCTGGCCTTAGCAGGAGACTCGGAAGTCTATTGGGTGGAAGGAAATACGGGCTCTGGGGAATGGAGTTTGAGTGACAGGGGGCTGCTTTGGCTCCTCTCTTATAATCTGCACATTCCACAGTCAAGAAAAGTGTGTCAGCAGCCGGAGGGCCAGAGCTGTCTGGTCCCAGAGAGCACAGTAGAATGAAAATCAGAGGGTAGCCAAGCGCAGCGTCAGCTCTTGAGCTGGGCTTTCACAGAAGAATGAGGGGCTGGGCTCCTTCACTGGGGAGCCACTGGGGGTGACATCGTGAGAGCACTTTTAAAGCCACCGGAAATATAAACAACCTCGGGATGCCCCCAAAGGAAAGAACCACAGCTGTCCCAGCCTTTTGTGCTGCCCCTCGGCTAACAGCCACGGCATTCGCTGGCAAACAGGCTGAAGCTGAAGCCAGGACCTGGGTAGGCCTGCAGGAGGCGTGTCTGAACCCAGGGAGGGTACCCGAGGGAAAGCATCAGGCCTCAGGATGGCCGAGGAAGGAGGCGCAACCACTGGTCTTCTGGCTAGCAAAAGCAAGCAGCTATCAGCGCCTTCCTCGGGGGGGGGTAGGGACTCCATGGCCTCGGGACCCAGTTTGCAGCCCAGGCTCTGAGCCATCCTGCCCCTCCCACATTTGCCTACTTTTCTTCCTTGCTCTGCTGAGACAGCCAGAAATTGGCCATTATTGTTTTCAAGGTGAAGGTCAAATCCTATATTTAGGATGATCTCACTCATTTTGAAAAATGCAAGAAGGGCTGGGGGGGTTGCAGCTCAGTGGTGGATCGTGAATGCCTCACGTGAGAGCACAAGGCTCCAGGTTCGATCCCCAGTGCCACACACACACACACACACACACACACAGTACAAATGCTTATACAAAGAGGATACATGAACATTCATATAAGACTACTTCCCTTGAAAATCTATGCTCTTCTTTCCCTTAAACAGCAAAAAGGAGAGTGTCACCAGGGTAAGACCTCACAATAGACATGGGCCCTCACCTCAGGCCCAGATCTCTGCCTCAATAAATCCCCAGGAAGATGGAAAGAGGTTAGTTCAGCCAGGCAACAACAGCCAGGTGAAGGAAGGAAAGCCACACCGTCTTCCAATGTAACAGAATCCAAGCCAAGCCAGAAACCAGCATGAACAGGCTTCCTGGTATGTGTGTGGGGGGGGGGGGGGGGGCGGGCAGACACCCGGATCAGGGCCTGGCTTTCCCCACTTTGGTGGGGTACTCTACTGAAGGCTACTAGGGTCAAGCCTGTCCAAGGTACATGCCGCAACACTCCAGCAACCTGGACCCACACCAGCTGTTTGCTGCCTGGGGCCACTAGCACTGTGCGGCTTTCTTACAGCTCTGTGATGTTGCAGGCCTGTTTCTGTGACAGACAGCTCTGATTCAGTTAGCCAGAGGGCTCTAGGATGCCTCTTCCTGAGAGGAGGCAAGGAGGGCAGAGCTCTGTTGTCTGACGTGCCAGCATTCTAAGAAAGAGACTGTGTGCAACACGCCAGTGCCTTTCCGAGCCTCTGTCCACAGCCTAAAGGCTTTGCCACCTCAGAGCCGCTGACATTTGGAAGCAGCTGTTGGTCATACTGCAACATGCAGAGTCCTTAGCAGAACCCCTGGCCTCTATGCACTGGGTCCCAGGAGCACCGCCCAGCCGACAACCCAAACCAACTCCAGATACGGCCAGATGTCTTGGGGGAGGGGACAAGTCACTTCCTTCTGCAGCCTGCTGCTCTAGAGGGAGGCATGGAGAGACCCCAAGAAGCAGATCCAGTAGTGGGGAACGGGGCTCCAGGGTGGAGTGTGTAGGTAGGGTTGGGAGCAAGAAGAGGCCAGCCAGTCCCACAGAGAAAGGGAAACTGGACAAAACAGACGGTCAGATATGCTTCCAGGGATGTGTGCTATCTGACCCCCCAGTCTTTTAAGAGTGTGTTCATTAACTGGCTGCCTAGGGTGGAGCTCACTCAAAGCACTGGGCTCGCAGGCTACAGGTTCCACTGCCAGCAAAGAAAAACACAAGACAGAAACATCGCTCATCGGGGCTTCCCGAGTCATGGGTGGGCCAGGCTGTGCTCAGAGACCTGGTTGTAGGTTACTCTAGAGCAGCCATGATTCCAAAGACTGAAGAGGGGGTGTCAAATTTTTCAATGCACAATTTAGGGCCAGTTTGATATTATCCTTGTAAAAGTACATATCACACTTGTTTTCTTTCTTTCTTTCTTTCTTTCTTTCTTTCTTTCTTTCTTTCTTTCTTTTTTTTTTGGTTTTTATGAGACAGGGTTTCTCTGTATTGTTTTTGAGGCTGTTGGTCCAGCCCAGCCTCGAATCACAGAGATCCGCCTGCCTCTGCCTCCCGAGTGCTGGGATTAAAGGCGTGTGCCACCACCGCCCGGCTCATTTTTCTTAACTGTATCACTAAGTCCCCCATGTTCCTGCACCTGGGGTATATTGGACACTTAAAACCTTATTAAAGTAATAAATGGGCAATATCCTAGGACACACTTCTTTAACCTGCAGGAAAAGGCCCATGTCAAATGTCACTTCCTTGGGGAAGCCTTCCTTAATTTTTTTTCTCTTAGCAGGAACAATTACACTGTGTGCCCAAAACACCAGACTGATACTACAGACATGTCCTGGAATACACTAGTCAGTCCATTACAATCCCCAACCAGAATGTAAGCTCTCTGGGGACGCTTTGATGTTACCATTTATTATGCCCACCCTTAGCAGCACTTGGTACATATTAGATAATCCATAAATGTTTAACACAATAACCAATACACGTTGTCCTCTGTCTGCACCCCGAACCCCAAACATTACAGTCCAGATGCACTGCCGTTCATGTGCTTTGCAGAACTCAGAATCCTGAGCCGCTGAGGACACCATGCTCCCGTTGCTTCAGGCAGAGAAAGAACACTTGCCCAGAACCTTTGAAGGTTGGTCTGAGACTTTGGAATGATCTACGATTTAAAGGCAAGATGATGTGTAGGACTTCAGGCCCATCAGGGCCATTCAGATCTTCTAGAAACTTCTCATGGACTCACCTTGCTCCCACCCATACCTGGATCAGAGCCCTGGGCCAAACAGACTGCATGGAGAAAGCTGCAGAGCAGACTTCTCCCAGTCTCTTTCCCCAGACCCCCGTGGAAGGGTGTGTCTGAGGCTCCGTCTGGACAGAGAACAGCCTGTATATATGGAATCATGCCACCCCCAGGGGCTGCTCTCCAGCCTGGCCCGTGGGCGCCCCTGCTTACCTGGTTGAAGGTCGGGGTAAGAGTGCTTTCTGGAGAGCGTCTATCCAGGGCAGGGCCCTCCTTCTGTCTGCAGTCCAGCTGGATCAGGCTGCGGCACTCTGGGTGGCAGGTGAATTTACAGTCTGAAGGAGAGAACCAAAGGGACCAGGGGTCAGCTCGACATCAGTGGACGGGAGTTACCCTCCACCTAGGGAAACTAGACGCTGCTCGGCTCTGATGGGAAGAGCGGTGAAACAGAGGAGCGGGGGACGGGGGGACTGTGTGAGGGTGATGCCTGAGCTCTGTGATATAGGGAAGAGAGACAGCAAGCGCTTCACACCTGTGCAAACTGCTCCCACCTGCATTATCTGGTGTGACCGGAGTCTTCAGCGATTTCCTCAGTCAGACCATCTAGCTATAAACTGGTACCCCCCATTCTTCCCAGTCATATCGCTAATCAGAGGCCACATGTCCTGGGGAGGGCCTCAATTTGTCAGTATATAAAACACAGGTTTCTCCCCCGGCCTGTGATGTAAAGATGTTTACACAGGCGTAAGAAGGCATGTCAGGAAGAATTAAAGTCTTCCAAAGGCAGAATCATCGCAAGCATCTCTCTCTAGCCCTGTCTAGATCAGCAGTGCTGGCTTGGTTCACTTAAGCCCATTAGAACAGTCTGCTGATGATATCCCAAACTGCCAGAGAAGCACACTCCAGAGGTGGCTCTCTGCCATGGAAATGGAGACTTAATGTCCAGAAGCGAAGAGAACATTTAGACTTTCACCTAGGACTCCCTTAAAGCCAGGGGACTCCCAGAGGCTGAAAGTGAGTCACCTGGATACAGATCATGAGTGGCAGACCATAGGCTGCTGTTTCTCAGGGTCTTCGTCTGGAGTCTCCTTGGCAAAAGGGAAGGGAAGTCAAAGGGGCCAGGAGACGAAAAGATTCAGTCAGGGGATAAGAGGGGAAAAGGACAGCAGGGGAGGGGCTGGGGAAGAAAGGGTAAGAAACAGAAGAAACGAACGCCAGTGCTCAGTAGGCATCATGGCTTTCACAGGTGACTGCTGGGTCAGCTGTGGTCCCTTCCTTGTCCTGGAGGTGCCGCCGCTCAGTCAGAGCATAGCCTTCCATGTGCTGGCTTCCCTGACTGTGCCTGAGGTAAGCCAGAGCAGCAGGGACTTCAATGCCTGGGCTTGCATGGATAATCTGGAAGTTAGAAGACCACTTTTGGTTGACAATGGCTCAGGAACCTTGAGAAGCCCTTCCAGGTAACAAACTTCAAAATTTGTCATGTTTGGTCTCTTTTTCTCTAAGCTGCCAAGCGGCACGCCCTATCTTGGGGTCCAGAGGCAGCTGGTTTCTTTCCACTCCGCTGAGGAGTTCCTGAACGTGATTCCCAGCTGCCTCCTTAAGTCTTCCCAGACACCAGTCCTTCCAGACACCAGTCCTTGTTCAAGGACCCTGACAGACACAGGGACACAGAGATTCCAGAACTCTCCATCCTCTTTCCTCCCTGGTCTAACTCCCCATCCATCTTTCTGGGGTGGCAGTTAGAGGCCATCCGTGTTCATATCCTTCAGCCATGAGGTAAAGCCCCCAGCAGCCCCTTCTTCAGCCTTGAGTCACCTTGTTTGTTTTCTACCGATGTGATTAAACACCAACACGGAAAGCAACTTGGGGAGGAAAGAGTTTGTTTTAGTTTACAGCTTAAAGTCAGAGCAGGAACCTGGAGGCAGGAACTGGAGCAGAAGTCACAGAGGAGCACGGCCTACCCGCTTGCTACCTGCATGAATGAATGAGAATGGCCCCCATAAACGCGCACATTTGTGTGCTCAGTCTCCAGGTGGTGAACTATTTGCCAGGATTAGAGGGCGTGGCCTCGGAGGAGGTGTGTCACTGGGAGTGGTCTTTGAGGTTTCAAAAGCCCATACTTGGCCCAGTGTCCCTCTCTCTGCCTGCTGCCTGTGGATCAGGATGTAGAGCTCTCAGCTACCACCACGCCAGCCAGCATGCCGCCATACTTCCTGCCATGATGATCATGGACTCACCCTCTGCATCTGTAAGCAAGCTCCCAGTTAAATGGTTTCCTTTACAAGAGTTGTCTTGGTCATGGTGACTCTTCACAGCAACAGAACACTAACTAAGACACTCTCCATGGCTTACTCAACAGAACACTAACTAAGACACTCTCCATGGCTTACTCAACAGAACACTAACTAAGACACTCTCCATGGCTTACTCAACAGAACACTAACTAAGACACTCTCCATGGCTTACTCAACAGAACACTAACTAAGACACTCTCCATGGCTTACTCAACAGAACACTAACTAAGACACTCTCCATGGCTTACTCAACAGAACACTAACTAAGACACTCTCCATGGCTTACTCAACAGAACACTAACTAAGACACTCTCCATGGCTTACTCAACAGAACACTAACTAAGACACTCTCCATGGCTTACTCAACAGAACACTAACTAAGACACTCTCCATGGCTTACTTGGCTTGCGTTCCGATACAACCCAGGCCCACCTGCCCTGAGGTGGCACCACTCATAACGGGCTAGGCTCTCCCACATCAATTATCCATCAAGAAAACTGAGTTGCCCACCAGCCAATCTGATGGAGGCATTTTTCTCAGTTGAAGTTCATTCTTCCCAAATGACCTGGGCTTTTTTTCCAAGTTGGAGGAAGAAAGCAAAACAAACAAAAACCCAAAACACAACAGAAGTTATAACGGGTAAGGTCAGTCCTCTAAGCTAAAACCATGTACCTTTAGGGTCCCACAGGTGTGATGGGGCTTCAGTGGCTGACACCCAGCTCACTGGAGACAGCTCACACTCAGTAGGTAAAGGGCATAGAAGGCCATGTGGGCCAAGTTCACCCACAGCATCCAGAAAGGCCAGGACTTTCTGATAATGTAACATTGAGAGCAGAGCCCATGAAGTTGGGACTGTTTAGGGCACACAAAGAGGAGGGTGGGCTAGAAGCTTGGCCAGCTCCAAGGCAGGCGAGAGCCACCACCTCCACAGGCGGAAGGCCTCCAGAGAGCTCAGGGTTTCCTCTCTTCCCGTTGAAGTGCCTGGCATAGTTACCACATTCCTTCTGTCCATGCACCTGTGTTGGTCTCTTGACTTCCAGGGCTCTCTTCTTTGACATACACACCCCAAAACCTCAGAAAGGTCTTTTTTATAGTTCTGACACTGAACTAGACAAGGTTGGGATGGAAGACTCCAAGAGCAGGTTTTAGTTTTAGAAAAGTGTGTGGTGGCACACACCTTTGATCCTGGCACTCAGAGAGCAGAGTTTAAGGCCAGCGTGGTCCATATAGCGGGTTCCAGACCAACCAGTCACATGGAAGGCCCTGTCACAACAAAACAACAACAAAAGAAAAACGAGAAATGCACATGACCATTAATGACTTTCTTGTAGTCATGACTGTAGCCTGGACTACATCTTCATACTTCCCAGCCCCTGGGAATGCCAAGCCCAGGGCTTCCAGACACTGATGACATCTGAGTCCCTCTGCCACCAGCACACATAGAAACAATGTCCTGCAGGGTTGGGGTGGGTCTTGAGCGGGACAATGCTCCATGTCCTCAAACCTGGGCCATGTCCCAGGGGACACCTGGAGTCAACTCCACAGATCTCCTCTCTCAAGGCAGCTCACCACTGCTACCCAGTCCCTGGCCTTGGTGGTCTACAGAGTTGTCCACCAGCCAATCTGATGGAGGAATTTTTCTCAGTTGAAGTTCATTCTTCCCAAATCACCTGGGCTTTTTGTCAAGTTGGGGGAAAAAGCAAAACAAGCAAAAAACAAACACAACAGAAGTTATAATGCATAAAGTCAGTCCTCTAAGGCTATATTCTAAAACCTTCATCTGGTGTTCATTTTGGACACGGGAAGACAGATCCTGGGTGTAACTGGGCCATGTAGATGCCACCATCTCTGTTGAGGCATTCATGTGCAAGTCCCAGACTGACACAAACTCTGTACTTGAAGTAAAAGTCAGATAGGACTCTCAGCTAGATGTGGTGCCACATACCTTTGATTCCAGCACTTGGGAGGCAGAGGCAGGTGGATCTCTGAGTTATGAATTTGAGGCCAGCCTAGTCTATAGAGCAAGTTCTAGGACAGCTAGGGCTACACAGAGAAACCTTGTTTTGAAGCAGATAAACAAAAAGACATGACTCTCAGGAACCAGGGGGCAGTGAGGATAATAATTCACAAGACAGCTGAAAGCCAGGGCCCTCTCTGCACAGATCTAAGAAGCTGATTTGGACCTGTAAGCTAGGGAAGCTAAGGCAAGCTTGGCACAAAGAAACCCACAAGGCATGGAAAGAAAGGAGAGTGCAGTCAGCTCAGATGCCCACCTTACAGGGAACACAGGGGCTGGGGCCTGCCATCACTGAATAGCTCACCACCAAGAGGCAACAAAAGATTAGGGAGCGACATTCCCCAGGCCTAGCAAGAGTTTATGGCATGCTAATTAGGCTATATGGATTGTACACATTTGGTTTTATTGTAGCATTTTCACACATGCACATCATGCTCTGTCTTCTTGCCCCTCTAGAGAATCTCACTTCTTTCCTCCCTGTCTCTGAGATCTGAATTCCACCACAAGAGAAAACATGACATTTGTTTAAGTGACTTTCTTCACTTGGCATGATTTCCATTCCATCTTTTTGTTTGTTTGTTTGTTTTTCCAGGCAGGGTTTCTCTATGTGGCCCTGGCTGTCCTGGAACTCACTCTGTAGGCCAGGCTGGCCTCAAACTCAGAACTCAGAGATCTGCCTGCCTTTGCCTCCCAAGTGGTGGGACTAAAGGCGTGCGCACCATCCATTTTCTTATAAATGGCATCATTTTGTTCATCCTTAAAGCTGAATAACCCCTTGTGTGCAGATTACCCCCACCATCTGTTGATGAGCATCTGGGTCCATCCCATTACCTGGCTACTGTGAACAGAGCAGCAATAAACACGGATGTGCTCACACTTCTTTTCTTTTTGACCTTTTGAAAATAATTTAACTTTATTTTATGTACATTGGTGTGAAGGTGTCAGACCTCCTGGAACTGGAGTTACAGATAGTTGTGAGCAGCCATGTGGGTGCTGGGAACTGAACCTCTGGGAATTGGTCCCC